AAAAATAAAAAATAAAAAGAGCATCAAAATCATACAGATCCATTGTTTGATATTTTGGATGGATGTTCCAAAATCAAAAGGTTGAGAAGGAAAAAGGAAGAAGAAATGACACATCCATAAACATACAAAGCAAGTTGAAGAAGAAGAAGAAGTGGATCAACAAACTTCTGAGGCATCAAGATTCTCTTTCCAAAAATACAAGACCGATGTAAATTTTTTTTTTTTTTTTTGAAAGGCTAAATCATTTTATTATTTGAGTAAAGGGGTACTCGAGTCATGAATATCAGTATGTGTGACTAGAGGCATATATTGGGGCTAATATACGAAAACAATAGATTTCAAACAAAGAAACTGGAATCTAGCTCCCCTCTAACTTCTATTTTCGCTAAATTAATTATTAATTACCTTAGCAAAAAGGGAGTGGATCTCAGAGAAAAAAGGAATAAATTTATTAACAAATTAAATTTATGGAAAAAAAAAAAAAAGGAAAAAGAACTTACAGGTTCCTTATGCGGCGTCGAGGCTTCCATAGATGCATTCCCTGTTTTTCTCATCTTCACTGCTTCCGCAAAAATTAGGTTTGCTTGATTTCTCCATCAATTGAATTTTGCAAAACTAAATGGGTAGAATGAAACAAAACGTGTATCTCTATGGCGGGAGCTCGGAGAGAAGACCAGCACCTTACCTGTTAATATTTATGGCCGGCCAAAAAATGAAGAAAATTAAACGAAGACTTTGTTCGATGACTTGCAGAGAACCGTTCGACCACCTCGGTTTTCGATATCTGCACGATTTTAATTTTTAGTTGTAGGTCCCTTCTAGGAAAAAAGAGATTTTATTATTAAATTTAAAGAAATTACATTTATATCTTTATAGCAGGACAGCATAGCCTAATGACAAAAGCATAATTTACAGCATTGGTGATAGGCTCAAATTATACCTATGCTGATATGAATAATTAAGTGAAGAGGGTTTTTTGCAACTAGATATTGTATGAACATTTGTTGAATGGGTGTAAATAGGATCATCACAATAGAAATAAAGTTGTTATAAGCATCATGAGTTAGTGGGCAATCACACTTGTTTAATCAACTTCATGGGAAGAGTAAGAAATCTTATCATTAATAATCTACATTATGCTAGATATGCTTGATATCCTCCCATCATAATATAAACTAGACCTTAAGCAGCGCTTTGCGTGATTCCTCTATAATTTTTTTTTAATTATTAATTATAAATTTTTTGATAATAATTAATTATAAATATATTTTAGAGTTTTTCTTATAATTAATAATTTTAAATTTATTAATTCATAAAAAAGTCTAAATAATAGATATGTAAAAAATTTAAGCATACAAACTTAACCCATTTAATTTTTTTAAAAAAAAAACAAATTTTCATAATTTTCATCTATATATATACACATTTACATAAATTTTTATCCTAATTTTTCTCTCTAGAAATGTTTTTAGTGAAAATATAAGTGACACAACTTCTCAATATTATTTATAGTTTTTTTCACTTAACTTTACTCCATTTTTCTCATTACTAATTTTTCTTGCAACTTAATCTCTTAGTTTCTCATTTAACCTTTTATCATTTTATCCTTTAGTTGCCCTCTCTTTAGCTCTATATGTTAGCATTTTTAATTATTTTTTATCTCCTTATCATCCATCCCCCCCTCTTGGTCTTCCTTAGTCATTATTGGCAATGCTATCCATCATTATATCTCTTCCTTTACCTTAATTTTTCTCTTTTTTCGGTGTTAAAATCAAAACATAAAAGATGCAACTTATTGTCTTGTTTTTTAGTACTTCATTTTCAGCTACCTCTACTCCACCTCTCATTAGTTTTTCTTGTGATTTCATCTCCCATATCTTCTCACTCAACAATTTATCATAATATTTATTTTTCTACTCTATATTCATCATCTCCTTCCCTCTCTGAATTATATAGTAATTTTTTTATTATTCTTGCTCCTCTTATCCTCCCCTTTCTAGTGTACTTTTTAGTCGTTTCTTATATCTCTAGATACCATTGTGTATTTTTTTACCCGAATTTCTCTCTTACTTGTTATCTATATTAAAAATATTTTAAGTTAAAATATAATAAGTGCAACTTATTGACATTTTCCTTTTGATACTTTTTCATTTACTTTATTCCACCTTTGATTAATTTTTCTTATGACTTCATCTCCTAGCTTTCATTCTCGCATTCTATCATTATATTTATCTTTCTATATTACATTCCCATCTCTCTCCATCTTTGTATTAATGTTTAATTTCTTATTATTCTTAATTTCTCATGTTAACATTCTGTTTCTATTATTCTTTCTTTATCATTCCTTGCATATGATTGTATTTCTCTTTTTTTACCGCAATTTTCTTCTCTTTTTCTATGTTAGAATGTTTTATGTCAAATCTTAAAATGCATAACTTTTTAGCATTAATATCTCAATACATTTTAACTTGTCTTCACACTACCTATCATTATTTTTCATGGGATTCAATATCTTAACTTA